AGGCTTCCCACCATTGATGCATACAATACTCGAGATATTTTCATCCTTCCTATTTCATTGCTAGAACTCATACTTGAAGATAACATGATAGAAAATAGGGTAAAAACTGTCTTACACCCTTGCATGTTGAAGCATTGCAAGACCTTCAGTAAGTAATTCTTCTGATAAAATCAAACTTTCTTATCTTTTCTGCCTCGATAAATTTACATCCCTAAAATTTTGTTTTTTGGTCCCTAGTTCTTTACATCAGACTTCCTAGTCAACTGTGTCTTCAAAACCTGAATTCGAACTTTGTTGGAGTCTACCACCAACATGTCATCCACATACAACAACAAAATGATAAAATCATTCTCATCAAATATATTGTAATAGGTACAATAGTCTGAACTTAGTCTATTGTAATCAAGGTTAATAATGAAGAATCAAATCTCTTATACTAACACTTGGGCACCCAGTTTAAACCGTATAGAGATTTGGTCAACCTGCAAACCAAATTTCCTTTTTGTTTAAGTCTTCTGGTTGGAGCACACCAATCATTTCTCTAAGTTTACCTTGAAGAGAAATAATATTTGTATCACCGCTAATAATAACCTTGTGGATAGTGAGATTCACAAGAAATATCACTTTACATTGTTAGCATAGTCCAAGAATTTGTCTTTCCCAAACTTTGAAAACACAAACTTCCTCTTGATGTGGTACACCCATAATCTCTTTGAATAATCATTGTCATTACTATCACAAATCTGACCCCTTCTAGGGATAATACTGGTGATTCCAACACATCATAATAAAGTCTAATATGTGTTTCTTCACAAGGGACTCCAAAATCTTTTTCGTTGTACCCTTCTCCACAAATTTGTTATAGCATTGTTGTTAATTTTTTCCCACATTTAATCTGTGATGCCAACAAAAATTACCTTCATATTTATTTTTCACAATGAGAAAGTATTCTCATTAAATTTCTTTATCTCATATTTTGTTGTCATGGTTTTAACCGACTTATGCATCTTTCACTATGAATAGTATTGCTTATTGGAACAATAACATAAATCGTAACAAGAACACTAGGTAAGCTCCCAGGAAAGAGATGTGGTTCACTAATAGACATACTTATATACCAAGTCTTTCCTTGCCAAAATTTTTCCTAAACATGCACTATCATACTACCACACTTTATCTCAAGTAACTAGAATAACTTTTTTCTGATGTGGAAGATCAGATTAACCACAACCACAGAGCATACTAAGAATTTTCTCAAATATTATTCTAATGACTATAACAACGAAATAATATAATAAATAAGAAACCAATCATCGGCTCTGATACCACAGTTAGGAATCAGAGTAAATGCATAAGAACTGAAAACTAAAATAAAATATGAGAAAAGAGAAACAAAATAGACAATAGGCAATAATAGAATTTTACTACCAGAAGAAATTACAATACCCTCTTTAAATTTAAGAAGAAAACAATAATAATATTATCTCATAAATAAGATAATTCAACTACTATGCAATGTACTAGTAAAAAGAATAAAAAAGATATTTGGAGTGATTTACAAGGTAGACATGGTACTCCTTTAATAATAGGAAAAGTAAGCACCAACATATAATTTCCCTGATGTGGGACTTCTCTTTTCACATTTTCAACATACCATACGATGTATTTTCATTCAACAAACACAAGATATTGACAATGAAGTAAGTATAAAATATTATTTCAATTAGTTATATCTTACCCTCAAATATTAATTTTTTTTCATTAGTATGATACACCTCAAGAGAAACAATAGCACCAAATACCTCAACCAACTTATTCACATGTTGGTCTATCTAGTTACCAGTAACCTGTTCAGTCAAGTTATCAGCAAGTTGGTCAATTTAGTTATTCATAACTTGGTTTGACAACTTATCAACAAGTTCGTTAATCTACTTTTTAACCTGTTCCATTTTATGGTTATGTAGACCATCTTCAAAATCTAGTTGGGGAAGTCATTTTGGAGGAATATCCTTTATACACATTCAATATAATGTCTTCTTGATCAAATATTTTTGTCACCTCTTCTATGACACCATTTTTAGCAATATCATCAAGTTGGATCTATAGATTCTTATCGACCAATAGTACCTACATCTCATAATCAAACTCAAGAAGAATAACATGATGATAATGATACAAAATCACAATAGACATATGTCCCTCAACAAAAAGACCTAATGAAACAGAAGAATACAACCTTGTGAAACGACTCCTAATATTATATTTTTTTGTATTACATTTTTTCTATCATGTAATTATTTTTATTAATATTAATATGTCATTTTATTAATTATTCTTATATTTTTAAATTTTTTGTTAAAATATGATAAATAAAAAAATTTACAAAGTAATATTATGTTATAATTAAATTAAAATATAAATAAATTAAAAATATTACAAAACGCCAATAAAAAAAACCCAAAGTCATCTTAAACAACACAACTTTAAAATTAAAAAAACAATAAAAATTTTAAAGTCGTACTAGATACACGCCTTTAAAATGAAAAAAGAAAAATTGCAAATTAATATAAGTCAGGCATGATGACAGAACCATTTTATACAAAATTCGTCATTCCAAACACCACTTACCCATTTATGTCAAATTGAAAACATTTACACCAATCAGATAATATTCTATTTAAATTATACTAGATTAGTAAAAAAACCTTTTATTATCACATCTAAACTATTGTCCACTTTAATGTTCATTTTAAAATTCTGCTAACTAACTTTTTTTCTTAAAAACACGTCTATAAATTATAAAGAATTATGTATATAAATGATCGATTCTTAAATTATATACGAAGAAATTCTTGTTCCTAAATAAAAGAGTTTCTATCTGTAAATATCACTTCCTCTCTTTTTGTTTAAATATGGTCGGTAATCATGGTTTTCATATATTAAAAATCAAAGTTCTATTTCCGTAATCCTTGTTCTTTTATGTTGAAATTTCAATTTTGAAACATGAATACTCGTTTGAAATCAGGATTTTAAAACATTGTTGAAAGGTTAAATTAGGGTTATAAAAGGTAATAAGGAATCATTTTTACGCTTCATCCTTTCTACGTAAAGTTTGAAAATCGGAGACATGTTTTGAACTCAAGAAAAGTAACCATAGCTAAACAAAAAATAAACCTCCACTTAATTATGCAATCGTTTCTCTCCAACAATCCAACACGCACGACCTCTCACTCCCTTTTATTTAGGATAAGAGATGGAACTGACCAATGGATATAAGAGTAAAACATAAATAATTTCAATTTAAGATTTTCTCAAAATGTCTAATTAGTAACGTGTTGTATTTAAGTAACAGAAGAAGAGTTGTACACTCGTACGTAAAAAACACTAACGCTAAAAAAATTAATAATAATAATAATAAGACTGTAAAATTTGTTACTTCCTATAATAAAAATGTTATTACTTGTCTCCCCAGGGTTTTCACACGATTCCGTTTTCAATTGATTTTCAAATATCATTTCAATTAATTATTTTATTGAATTAAAAATTTATCCTATATAAACATATGGAAAAGTTATTATACTTCATACAGTATATAAGAAAATTATTAGAATAATAGTTAAGGTTAAAATTTTAATTAACTTTATAATATTTTAAAATGCATAAAAATCATTTTTTAAAATTTTCCCATGAAAAATGTATTTATTTTAAAATGATCAATTTTAAATATTATAATTTATCTCCGAATTGTAGAAGATAATTATAGATTCACAAAAATACGTTTTATATAACAATCTAAAAATAATTTGCATACATTTAAAAAAAATTGAAATTTAAACTTTGATTATTATATAATTAATTTTTTATAACATACTATATGCAGTATAATAATTTTTCACTAAATTTATGGTATAAACATTTTATTCAATAAAAAACAATTTAATATTAAAAATTTATTGAAACGATCGTTGTTGTATGAAATAGTGGAGAGGGGCACGGCTTGAGAGATGGTAACAATTTAGGAACATACATTGACAAAAGGTTCATCATCCTCATAGATGAAGAAAACTTTTAATGATTTAGATGTCATAAATTTATATTTCCACCCACTTGTCATCTCCCACACCTTCCAAAAAATAAAAATGTGTATTCATATATAATTACTCACAATCTAGGTCTCATGATTCTTCAGCCGTTTCAATAAATTATGCAATGTCTTCAGCATCTGTTCTTTCTAAACTAATTTAGACTGGGACGTGTTACGCTAACCTTCTGATCACTACAACTACTTCAAAAATTGAATAAAACAATGCTATTGAATAGCATATAATGCAAGTTTGGTTTTGTACGAGTTTCAGTCAATTAGAACCCTAGCTGTAACTTTGGGGCGAACCCACCAAACTGAACTAGTTTTTAAACATGTTAAACTACTTGGAATTTTTTTAACAGAGATTGATTGCAAGACCCAGGGTTTGGTTGGTTCTCGCAAATTCAAAACATTCTATTCCAGATTATTCTATACAGAAATCAGAGTGGCATGGATCGAAATTTAAACTAAATCATTAGAGAATTACAAACACTTCAATCTAGGCAACAAAACTTTTATTTTAGGAAGGAACTCCTAATCAATATCCCAATTTTAATAAATTAGAAGCTAAACCTAACCAAAGAAATTAGGGTGTACGGTTTCGCCCAAATTGCAGAAAGCAAATAGGGTTTCCGATATACCCTAAATTGCAGAACACACGTTTTATACTTCTCAAGACTCACTACCATACCGCAGATTCCATTAAAATAAAACCCGGAACGGAAAACTAACACCGTGAAGAGAATATGAAAGACTCCAAAGGTATATAATTTCATATAATCCAAAAACCTAGTACTCGGTCTGATTTAAAGCAGCGGTAGCAACAACATAAAGTAAGAAAACAAAATGGAAAAACACGAAAGAAAAGCATGAATAAAAAGCGAAAATGGAGGGAAGGGGAGGTCTGACAGATGGATCAGTACCTCCTGGTGAAGGGGAAGTTTTGTTGAACAGGGACCGGGTCGACCTGGGTGATGCCGGCCATGTCGTTGATTCCGAGGGAGTGGAGCATTTCAAGGGTTTCCTTGTCCACCTCGATGTGTTCGGTGTTGATGGCGGAGACGTCGGGGACGAAGTCCATGCGGCGCTCGCGCTCCTCCTCCTGAAGCTTGAGTGAGATGCCGCGAACGGGACCCTTCTGAATGCGCTTCATGAGATGGGTGGAGAAGCCTGCAATCTTGTTGCGGAGCCTCTTGGAGGGGATGATGGCTACTTCTTCTAGAAGCTTCTTGTTGGTGTGGAAATCAAGCGTCATCCTCGAGTAGTAACGCTCGATCACTTGCCGTGAAGATTTCTTCACTGTCTTTGTTCTCACGCGCCCCATCTTTCTCTTCTCCTTCTTCTTCTTCTGCCGCTTCTCCTCTCGTCTCTTCTCTCGTTTGCCTGCACACTGCTGCTTCACTACTAGGGTTTTCTATTTTTATTCCGTCCAGTTTGGGCTTGCAACCCAATTGGGCCTGTAACCCAATTGAGCCCAACCTAACTACCCCCTCTCCTCTATTACTTACATATAATTTTAACTAAAGAAACTAATAAGGAATTCAACCAATATTTTTTAAATAATAATGTGTGGATTTTTTTTTAATCATAATTCAACCAATATATTTTTAATTATAATTAATAAGATTCTATTTTAGAAAATAAGATCACGACTATGAAAATAAAAACAAATAAAAAAATTATTTTAATTTTTTATTGTTGATATTTGTGTTTATTCCCTGTAAAATAAGACTGTAAATGTTATATAATATATCTAGGTAGTTGTATATATTTACGTATAATTATTATTTATAAGTTAAGTAGGTTGAATATTCTATTTTGTATTAAATAATTATATTTTAAAAATAGTATGACTATAATATTAATATATATTTGAATAATTAGAAGTTGGAAAACATCAGAAATATATCGATATTACTGTTAGTTAAGAAATTGAATTTAAAAGTTATTAGAAATATTATCATAATTCATTCTCTCTATACAGTTTTCAGCACACTTCAACGTGACTTTTTTTAATTAAAAATTGAAATTGTTCTACTCTCTACGAGTAGTACTTGTTCTCTTAGCCCCTCTGTTTGTTTTCGGAATTGATTATGTTATAATGGATTATATAAGTAAATATTATATATATTTACTCTATTACAGATTATGTTTGAAATTTTTTTATTTAATATATTTTTATATTATTATAATAATAAATAAAATGTATTAATAATAAATAAATTTATTTTTTTCACCTATTTCTGTTCTTTTTCTTTTATCTAAATAATTTCACTTTGCATTTTCTTTCTCACATTTTCCATTCCTTCAAAAGTCTAATTTCTAATCCAAACAATTCATTAAGCTTGGGTTTAGATCGGGCTGAAAATTTGAGAAGTAAATTTGAAATTATTTAAATAAATTTGTGGGATTGTTTGAAATAAAGAAAAAAGGTAAATTAAAAAAATTGGAGTGAATTTATTATAACGAATCTATTTGATATAATTAAATATAGATACTTGAATAATAATATTTTTAGTATAATAACGAAATTATTTATGTAAGGTTGAATATATAAACTAAATAGCAACTAAAGATGTAATTATTAAAAAAATTATATTTATTTTTAAAATTATATATAGTAAAATTTATTTTGAGTATTGATTTTTAAAATTATTTTTTATTTTTTAAAATTTATCGAATAAATATAATATTTTTAATTTATAATCTAATTTAAAAAAATATAATTTTAAAAATTAATATTTATTTATGATTTTTTATTTTAATAAAATTAATAAAAAAGTTAAATATAATTTTAATATTTTCCATATTTAATTGTAATATTAATATTTTTTATTAAAGTCAATAAAATGATTAAAGATTATTTATTAAATTTTAAAATGAAAAGATAAAAAAATTAATTTTATGGTGTTTTGATTTCTATACCTCTAAAATTATAACTAAATCATATCATATTATATATATATATATATATATATATATATATATATATATATATATATATATATATATATATATATAACTTTGGATGAAAATTGACATTTGTGCTAAGTAAATAATACTTAGTTGATATAAGTTGTTTAATGGAGAACAAGAGGGTGATAATTTTATATTAAGTATGATAATATAGTTAAAGTTAATTTTTATATTTAAATTTTTATTCACTTTAAAATTTGTATAAAAAAATACATATAAAATATCATTAATTTTTAAATAATATAAATTCATCAACGTATTTGAATGTATAAAAAATTAGCTTACAATAATACAACATAAGAAAACTTTGTTAAATGATTATAACTATATAGATGAAAAAAATAACTCCAATAATGTTAATAAAAATAATATTTTATATCTTTACATCAATTGGAAAAATAAAAGGAGGAAATTTCTTCGTGACAAAAAGTATTTTCATTCTCAATGGCAGTGGTGGAAGAAATCTAACTGATCAACTTTAATAAAAACACAACATCGATTTGTATTCACTAAAAATAATGTCGAGTGAGTGATATCTTGATGACGTTTTTTGATACAAACCAACCAGTGGACCCAGACCCAATAAGGAAAGATGACCCAATAGTAAGGAAACGAGCAAGAAAGAAGCCAGCGTGGATGACTGATTATGTCTGCGAACAAAATTAGAAGATCCTGATATGCTCAAATTAATTCCTGAAATTTCTGCTGCAAATTATTAGTTTAATTCCTGTTTTATTTCCCTAATTTTTGCTTGATTGTTAGCACCCAATTCCTTTTAATAGCTATGATGTAATCAAAACAGAATAAAAGTTTTCAAGATCATTTTTCCCCCAAATTCTATTATTCTCTTTCCCTTAATTTTTTGAGGAGTGGACACTCACTCGAAGAGTATTAAAACCTTTGAGCATTCTGCAGTAGAGTGTATCATTGGTGCTTTCATCATGGACACAAATGAGCTTATGAGCGCCCTTCAATCCAATATCGATGCACAGATGGTAAAGTTTCGCGAATTACTCGAGTTCCATACCGAGTCAGTTCATTCCACACTCCACCAACACATGGTAGAAGTTGATTCGAAGGTCGCAAACTTACACGTCGAAGGCAAAAAACAACCACAGAATGCATTTGTCGGGCAGACGCCACGTGCGCTGAAATTAAACGTACCACGTTTTGATGGTTCCAATCTCTTGGATTGGATTTTTCAGATTGAAGCTTTCTTCAACTTCCACGAAACTCCGGAAGAGTCCTGACTTCATATCGTAGCCTTTCATCTTGACGGACGCGCTGTTGGCTGGTTCCAATGGGCAACACGTAACAATTTGTTACCATCGTGGCCAATTTTTCTCACCGTTGTTCGCCACCACTTCGGTCCAACTCAGTACGAAGACATTGAATGTGAACTCTCCAAATTAACTCAAACAGGCTCTGTAGCTGATTTTCAAGCCCAGTTTGAAGAATTGATGAACAAGGTCAACGGTATCTCTGAATCACTACTCATCAGTTTTTTCATTACGGGACTGAAAAAGCATTTGAGACGGGAATTGCAATTTCACCGACCTGCTACGTTAATGGAAACCTTCGCCATGGCCAGAGCATATGAGGCCCGTTTTGATGACACACCAACCATAGGCAAATTGTGGTCTCGCGGCCCACAACACTCCACAGGCTCACATACCCAACCTAACCACAATCAAACAAACTGATCCAATTCAAATCCAAATAACCCATCAAACAATACTGCAACATCGTTACCACCACTCTTACCCACATCACACTCAAACCCTGCCGTGCGGAACATGCCCTCTGCCGAACTCCGAGACCGCCGTTCAAAAGTAACAGTCAAACAACTTAGGGGGTTCTTAGGCCTTACCGGATACTATAGAAAATTCATTGCCCATTATGCAAGTATAACTTCTCCTTTAACTGATCTCCTGAAGCATGATGCATTCTCTTGGAATGAAAATGCTCAACGGGCCTTCCTTGCCCTCAAGCAAGCTATGCTTTCTGCGTCGGTCCTTAGTTTACCCGACTTTTCTAAAGAATTTGTAATAGAGACTGACGCATCCAACGTCAGTATTGGAGCTGTTTTAATGCAAGAGGGCCACCCCCTTGCCTTCTTTAGTAAGAAATTGGGCCCGAAGTTACAAGCTGCATTTGTATACATCAAGGAACTACATGCCATTACGGAATCTGTTCTTAAATGGAGACAATACTTGTTAGGTCATTTTTTTGTCATCCGAACCGATCATAAGAGCATCAAGGAATTACTTCAGACAAGTAATACAAACTCCGAACAACAATCGTATGTGCGCAAACTCTTGGGGTTCCAATTTTGCATCGAGTACAAACCTGGGGCTTCCAATAAAGTGGCCGATGCACTTTCACGTGTGTCGACTGACCGGCCGACAGTGACCACACACCCGCACTCGAGCATTAGTGTCATCACCTACATATGGTATTATTACTCAGCTCCAAAAAGATAATGCTTCGATTTTTTCTATCAGACTTTTCGTGAACAACACATGCGAGGATTGCTCCGGTACCCTTATACTATCGTGAATGGGGTCCTCTTCCATACCGGTCGTTATGTGATCAACCCAACATCTCCTCTATGTCATACAATCATTAGCGAATTTCACGATACATCAAGTGGTGGCCATGCTAGTGTGAAACGTACCCTAGTTCGTGTTGCTGCCAATTTTTATTGGTCCGGTATGCGTAAAGCAGTGGAAGAGTATGTCGACTCATGTCTTACTTGCCAACAAATTAAATATTCAACGCAGGTTCCAGCGGGACTCCTTCAACCTCTCCCGATTCCAGAGACGGTTTGGGAAGATGTAACAATGGATTTTATTACGGGTCTCCCTCCCTCTCAAGGATCCACGGTTATCCTTGTTGTTGTGGATCGATTATCGAAAACAACTCACTTTGGTGCTCTTCCCACGTCATTTACCGCTTCCAAAGTAGCATAATTGTTTGTGTCTTTGGTTGTGCGTCACCATGGGTACCCTCGTTCCATTGTGTCTAATCGTGATCCGGTCTTCATTAGCGCTTTTTGGTGCAAGCTGTTTGAACTTAGTGGCACCAAGCTTGCTATGAGCAGTGCCTATCACCCTCAAACTGACGGTCAAACTGAGGTAGTTAACCGTGGGTTGGAACAATATCTTCGTGCCTTCACTCAACATAAACCGTCTTCATGGGTTGCATTCCTCCCGTGGGCCGAATTTCATTATAACACCAACTACCATAGTGCCTTGCAAATGTCCCCTTTCGAGGCTCTTTATGGTCGAAGACCACCCACCATTCCGGCATATACTAGGGGATCCACTTCTATACAAGTATTGGATG